GCGTCTCTTCGATCTCATCCTCGTCGACGCTTATCGTTTTCTGGTCGGATGTCAATGTTTTTTCAACAGGCTTCTTCAGCGGTGGGCTTTGTCGGCCGGGTGAGTTGTTTTTGCTCCTGTCGTGCCTTTTTTTCGTCTTGTTATATCTAGATTCCGTTGTCGCTGGCGATCTACTTCTGAGATGCATCGACGGTGCGGCTATCTGCGATTCTCCGGATTTTCTCACGAGTTGAGAATGCAGGTTCGATTCGATTGCTTGGCTCGATTGACTTTCGGAAGGATGGATCGGTTTACTCGGCTGGGCCAGAGGGGTTTGTTGAACTTGCGTTGTTCGAAACAGTTTAATGTGTCCCATTAATTTGTCAATCTTTTCGTCCTTCTTCTTCATCACTTCAAGAAATTGAGCAATTTGGGCGTCTTTCTCCTCCATTTTCTTTTCTAGGTCCTCCAATTTTTTCCGGTCGGCAGTCTGCTAGGCTGCAACTGCGGCGTAGCTTCCTGTTCCTGTTTCGATTCGCTTGCGTGCCTCAGGGTACGTCAGATTATGACCCACTTTTAAACGGATCACTTCCACTTCCTTCTTATAAACCGGGCATTGACGGTTGTTCGGACGATGAGGTCCACCACAATTGATGCAGTGGGCAGCTGCTGCACACTGTTCATCCTCCGCCAGTTCATGATCGGCAGAACAGTTAAAACAGCGTTTCGGACCAGGACATCGGACACGGGGATGACCGTATCGGACACACCCATAGCACAAGAGAGGATTAGGGTAGTACGGACGGGTAGCGACACGAAGGACACCAATTTTTACATGCGACGGGAAGTTGCTCCTGTTAAATGTAAGGATCAGGGCTGACGTGCTGACTGGCTTACCGTGCTCTTTGCGAGTGATTTGCTGGACTCGAATGACCCCCTGGCTAATGAGACCAAGTAGGAAATCTTTCTCCTCCATGCGGATCGCCTCAAAGCATGAAATAACGCAACGGCTCACATTCAAGTTGGGATGCAGTTGAACGACGACCTCAGTACCATCTAAAAGAGTGGACAACTTTAGCAGCTTATTGACCTGGATTTGATTCCTAACTCTGAGCGTGTATCGAGTTCCTTGAGCTTCTGTCGATGCTCCTTCAATTGACCCGCCTGCAGCATCTTCTACCGACTTTCCAACAATGAAAGGATCCGACTTTAATGGTTTTTCTGCATCCTTACTGGTTAACAGAAGGTATGACAGTGCACCAAATTCACGCGTTGAATTTCCTAACCTTGGCCATTGTTCCCTTGACCCTCCAGGGTCACCGCTACTAGCGGCCGTCATTACCGCCTTACCCTACTCTACCACTTTTTCGCGCTTACACACGGCGGACGTTGGAAAAAGGTAAAAAGTAACAACGGTCACCCGTTGTTTACCCCAGAGACGGTAAAATAAAGAAAAACAAAAGATTTTCCTACCTTACGCTCCTTCAATTCCACGCCTACAAAGCGAAATCACCAAAAAAGTGACTCCAGTCACTTCCCTTTTCAGTGAAAAACTTTTTACCACAAACCAAAAAAAAAAATCGAGCAAAGAAACCTCAATGGACCACACTACACAACCGTCGAACGACGCGATGGCCGTTTGTTGTTTCCACTGTATCCACGCGGTGAGGCACTTTAATCGCACTATTATCACTCAAATTTTCACCGATTATGATCGGACTTGAACGTTTGTCACTAGTTAACACTAGCCACTAGCTGCGCGAATCAATCGATCGCGAAATATCACCAAAACACAGCAATATTCCGAGCGCGTACGCGGTTGCTATAGACAACAACGATGTCCCGAACTCGAATGAGTCAAAATCAAGGTTGCAAAGACTCATTTCAGCTAAAATAATGTTTTTCGGAATAATAAAACCAAAAATTGGTATGATGGCATGTTTTACTTGTAACTTACAAGAAGAGGTTACAAAGTATGCGTTGGAAACATAAAACCTGTAAATTTTGCTTTCTATGAGTCACAATCAGCGATTTGCTGATCGCTGAGTGAGTGAGTGAGTGAGTGAGTGAGTTTGTGAAAAATAGCTGATTGTGACTCTCATGAAGTGAAATAGACAGGTTTAATATGTCAAACACATACTTTGCAACCTCTTCTTGTATCCTACCAATTCAAAATTTGATCATGGCATCTAATTATTTCATAATTTAGAAAAACATTGTTTTAGCTGAAATGAGTCTTTGCAACCTTGGTCAAAATACGTAAAGGCTGACTAAAAGTAAATTGGTACACCCTTCGCACGCCGCTAGCACGCCTCTGGTGTTGGGAATCGAAAATTCTTGATAGTGGTTTGTTTACACTGCTATAGAGAACAACTGGTGCAAGTTTGATCAAAGTAGTCGATCGCGTTCAGAAATAACGTCCAATGGAACTTGACAGAAGAAAAAAATATTGTGCACAAACACTTGGAAAATCCGGAGTGGTCCGGTTCCAAGCTGGCTAAAGTGTTGAAGATGCCGAAAACAACAGTTTGTCGAGTGCTCAAAACCTACAAGGAAACTCTGAGTGCGGAAAGGAATCAGTGGACCTACGAAAAAACTGGAACCAGGGATCGTCAGCTGCGCAGCAAGGGTTGAGGTGCATTAAAGCCAACCCCGGTCTTTCGATCTGATATGTGACCAGAAGGTACAACGCCAACTTTCAAACGGTGCGGAACATCCTTGCCAGGGAAGGATACAAGTCTTACAAAGCCGAACCGGCACATGAAGCAAAAAAAAAGTGTACGACCGTGTTTTGACGAAACACAAGGGCTGCACTTTGATCGATGACGAAACATACGTCAAACTCGATTTGAAGCAGCTTCCCGGTCAAAAGTTTAACATCGCGACTGGACGTGGGGATGTGCCGGAAGATTCAAGTTCGTGTTTGCCGACAAGTTTGCGAAGAAGGCCATGATTTGGCAAGCGATTTGCAGTTGTGGCCTGAAAACGGAACCACATCCCAAGTTTATATCGAAGAATGCCTGAAAAAGCCGTTCATCCGCAAGCATAGTGGCAAAGTCATCTTTTGGCCCGATTTGGCCAGCTGCCACTACTCCAAGGTGGTTTTGGATCGGTATGCTGCAAGCAAGATCTATTGTGCCCCCAGCTAATGAATCCTCCGAATTGCCCGGAATTTCAACCGATCGAAAAATACTGGGCAATTTCAAAGCAGCAACTTTGACGAAGCGGCGGGGCAGTCAAGGGCATCCAGCAAATGCGGGCAAAATGGAAGAAATACGCTGATTCCGTGTCCGTTTCCACTGTGCAGGCGCTGATGAGCTCCATCAAGAGGAAGGTTAGAGATTTCGTTTGAACTGTAGAAATGTAACCATCTAATGCTGTAGCTTTGAAGTTTTAATAAAAGTTACAGCAACCATCAATGGACTTTTTAAACTTATTGTATCGCGAATTACAGGTCTTTTTGTGCGTACCAATTTACTTCTAGCCATCCTTTATGGATACAAACATTAATTAAGTAGAATAAAATGGAAGATAAATGTTTTTGGTGTTTTTGAGCATTCTAACAACCCAATTTCATTACTTCACGATAAAAGAAATGTTTTTTTTTCAGTAAAGTTGCTTAAAACTAACTCAGCTACAACTTTACTAAATATTATGTGTCTTAATATTCAAAAAAAAAAAGAGCAAGTTTTTTATATCAATTTATTTGAAGGCCACCCTGACCAGTAAGACACAAGTGTAGAGACTTTTGAAGCATTATCAGACGCATGCAATGCCATAAAAAACATCGTCTGCATCTTCTTATATAAAGAGGTTATCTCCATTTTTTTTTTAAATAAAGATCAAAACCAAATTGACTTTAAAGAAGTTTTAAAATTAAATTATCTACAATTTTTTTTTTATTATTTTGATAAAATATGCTTTTTTAAATTCTGCAATATATTTTTATGATTACCCATTATGAATATGGTATTAGTAAACAAAAATGACGTATTTTTAAAAGAAAAAATGTCAATAGCTTTTGATCGGCAACAGATATCGACGAGTTAACAATACAACAACAACAAAAGTTTTCTCCAAAGTTGTTTGAAATTAGCTGATCAACAAATTTGCCGAAGAATACCTTTATTTTTGAAAATACAAAAGTTTTAATTTTTGTTTAAATTATAAATTGGACCACCCTAGTATTCATTGATGCCAAAATGAGAGCCTAACTATAAGAAATAACTTTGTCGAAGACACTTTTTCACTAATGTTTCAATTTGATGCTCTAAATGGACATTTCCTGCTTTATTTCCATTCTGGACCAATGTGCAGTGACTAGTTTCTGGCTAGGGTCAAAATCCATCATGCGATTCTTCTGATGATTAATCATCGAACACTTCACATGATATGAGCAATGTTGGAATTTATTTTACTTGGAAGGGTAAGATCTCACTATTGGTGGATTAATTTTGTTTTTGGTCTCACCTTCACCCATAAGCATTCAAACTTTGTCGGCTTAATTCTTGAGAACTTTTGTCCATATATTTCCAAAATTATTACATTTCTAGAAATGAGCTACACGATCCACACAGAACACTATCACTTTACACACGAACCATAATCAAACTTCCCCGGGGAAATGACGATCCGCCCATTTCATGTTTCCGATGTTGAAGGCAACGTTCGAATAGCTCGATTTCATCAGCATCACGACCAGTAGCGAACACACATCATCCGAATTGACTCACGTCACGAATTTCCCGAACGAAAGCTCCCTCCTTCCCTCCGCACCACGCCGTTTGTCTGTTATAGAGATATATAGAAAAGCCCGCGGCGGCATGTTCGTCTGGCAACTTCCGCCATTAACACGCAGATTTCAACGGTAACGATTAGGTGGGTGAAACACGCCATCCCCAAACAATGCGTGCCGGCACGTATGGATTATAAATCGGCCAATTTTCCAATTTACCACCCCAGTTTGGGATTGGAACGTCTCGCTGTAACTTCCGCCCGAGGGAAGCAGAAACTTGTAGTAAGTACACCGGAGCTCGGATTGTGAGTGAAATGTGTTCTCTTCGATTGGCAGTAGCTGCGATGGTGCTTGCGTTGGCCGTTGGGTGGATACAGGCGGAGAACATTATCGACATAGCGGACTTCTTCCAGGATTGTGACAATGGGCAACCGGCTCCGGCCATCAACATGGACGAGCTGCAAACGCTCCAAGACGACGATGGTAACTCGGTGATGAACGGAAATATGGTTTTTGATGGCGAATACAACGATCCGATTGAGGTAATATGATGCTCTTAAAATTCTTGGAGTTCGAGGTAAACTCCATCGGGAATGCTTTTCCAGCTGAAGATGTATTCCACACGGCTGAAGCAGGGCTCGTGGGTTGATGGGGAAATTTCCCGGGATGTGCCCAATGCTTGTCCGCTGATTATGAGCAGCGGAGAACCGTGGTATGTACTCACAGCGGCCATGAAACAGCAAGACTGCCCGTACGCAGCAGGAGTGAGTAATTTTGATTGATAGCTTAGTTGAGAATCGCTCTGAACCATGTGGGTAACTTACAGCACACCGAAAAGTTTGAGATGCTCATCATGGGAGATATGGGCTTCGAGAACATACCGGACACATTCGTTGGCGACTGGAGGCTCTACGTGGAAATCAAGACGCAGAGGGGAGCCGAGAAGGTGACCGAATGCTTCCGGGTTGCGTTCAGCATTGTGGAGAAATAGATGAAAGGCTGGAAAAAATAATCTGCCGATACAGTTAATTTCCTATTTGATCAAAACAATTTAATTTAAACTATTAATAGAGAGCCGTAAAACTCTCATCTGATTCTGATTAGCGTAGAATTTCTGAAGTTTTTTTTAATTAAAATTATTCACGTACTTTCTAATCAATTGCCGTGTAGTGCACCGATTCAAATTGATCGACACTTGATGCAAACCATCATATAGACACTTTGGGCTAACGTCATCCCGGCATAAAATCATCATCACCGATCCCAAGATGCTTATTATTTATCCAAGAAAGCCTCCGTCCCCATGACCTATCCCTCGTCCCCACTTTTCCGGCCCACCTTCAAGTGATGAAAAATAACAAAAGCTTACGCCCGCCTTCAGCGCCGTATTTGGCCATTATTCATCCGACACCTGACTGATGATGACCGGACCGGACCCAGACATGGTGTTGAGCAAACGGCTGAGCCGCTGGACCAGAGCCCGATAAGCGAAGGGGAACGAGGATTGAGGTCTAGCACACAGATTATCCCTTCGCTTCATCTCCGGCTCCGGGGAGAGCTTTCAGCCTTTCCGTCCGTCTGTCCGTCCGTTCGTCCGTGTTGGTGTTGTTCTTACTGCGCGCCGCAGCTCGACATCATCATCATCATCGCTATGGCTCCTCGGAACGAAGTTTTCTTTATCCATCGGACGAAGAACCGGAATCACGGCAACTGGCTTTTATCCTTTTGTTATGACTTTTAAGAAACGATAAAGAATGCTCCCCACGGGTCCTTTCCTCCCACCGAGCGCCGCAGTCAGTGCGATGACGTAGAACGTGCGCTGTTGACCGGTCGTCCTGCTGCGCCCTCGAGGTTTAATTTATTTTCATTAACTTGTAGCAGGAGGCGTCTCTTGGTAAAATTGAATAAAACTGTTCGCTGCTTTGGTTCTAGTGCTGGACGTGATTCTACTCAAGAGAGCTACCGTCAGAGAGACTGCGGTTGAGGGTGGGGATGCAAGTCATCCTTTTGTACCGGATGTTCTCTGCTGTCGTCACTTTCAATCGATTTTGTTAATGGATTTTAAATGTTTCTCCCGCCAGCTTGTACCCACAACCGGTCTGGATAGGTACCCGAAGGATAATACACTTTCCGATGATGCCTTAACTCTTTTCCCTTCGAGGCCTGATCAATGCACTACCCTTTCGGGCTCAACTTTTTGTTTACTTAAGGGAGATTGTTTGTTTGATGTAAACTATAAAAAATAATCCGTTGCGGTTGTTGGGAAATGGTTCCCATCATCCCATGACTGATATGGAATTTTTGAATCCGATTGGTTCAACAAGCAGAAGATACATGAGCACTCTGGAACCAAATGAGTTAATGGAATAGGATGCCTTAATGTCCTAGGGAAATCAGATGAGAATGAAAAGCTTTTGTTGGTTTTTATGATCGAAAATGGATTTTGTTGGAATGCACTTTAGTAAATCAATAAAGTAATAATATGGTTTAAATATGCCTCGGGATGGATGCCCGAATCCCGGAAAGCTCGAAATATTTCTGCTCATTACAGAAGAGCTTAAAAATTAAAAAAAAGTAGAAGGGGCACGAATGACGTAGGACCGCTAGTGGACGGAATAAATATGTTGGTCATTTAATTCGATGCCGACCGGATGATGGCGGCCCACAGTGGTCGGAGATGCCAATTTGGTGAACTTAATTGTTTTGTGGTCAAACCGTCAACTTAATCCAAAAACTGTCTTCAGAAGAATTGTTCATAAAAACATTGCGCATATTATGACAATTGCCAATATTTGTCATGGCATACTGTAAAAAAAAATAAAACTAACTTTTTTGCAAAAGAGATGGAATGGTATTTTTTTTTCAGCAAAGTTGTAGTACTCACAAAAAGATGAAACTTTGTTCAAAACACCAAATTTGTATGACGAATACTTGTAAAGATATGAAGCGTTTTTGATGGAACCCCCTTAAATTAAGTTTTTTTAGTATAACTTTTTTTATTGCAAATTTTGATGTAAACAATATCGTAGAAAAATGTAAAAAACATACAATTACATGTTTTTGCTCAAAATAGTTTGTGGCTAAAATCATCCCTTTCAAAGTTATAGTACTTTGTACATTTATTTTTCCTTAATTTCAGCTGCATATAGGGGAGAAGGTGGCAATCCGAAACACAGCACAAAGTACACTTTTTAAAGCTTAGGCTCTATACTACAAAGTAGTGAAGGTTTGGTTAGCGCCAATTCATAAGTGAGTGAATAGGATCACGTTGAATATTCACGTGTTTGGCCTTTTCTATATAAAAATAACCCTGTTTCCTCATTTATGAACGGTAAATTACGGATTATAGAAACAGATATTATCAAACTCATCCGTGAACAACAAGGAAATTTTTTGTATGTATCCATTTAAGTTTGCATCCATTTGTGAAATGGTGAGCGATCAACCGAGTGTTGTGCTCGCTCATGTGAGCATGCGCAATGTGTCGTTTGTTCGGTTTTCGTTCTATCGTTGCGTCCGTGTTTGGGATTTTTCGTTACATGTCTGAATTTTGATTTTTTTTTTATGTGACCCCAGTATAGAAATTAAAGACGTTGTTCTTTTTCAAAATAATTGAATTAGATTTATGGTTTTCTATTTCAGAATTCTCTACAATAGTTTACAGCATATTAGAACTTTGTACAATGATGATCATTTATCTGGTAAAATAGTGCGCTGAATCCAAAAATGTAGTCAGACAAATATCAGAAGAAAAGTTTTCAAGTACAGATGAAAAGAGAAGTTTCAATTTAAACATTTTTTTTTTTTCTAAAATACCAATATCTCCGGTTATAATGAAGTTATATCAAAAATTTTGAAGCCAAATAAAAGATGAGATTACTGTAAAATAATTGGTCAGTCAGATTAGTGGAATTGCTTTAAATTAATAGTTTGTAGATTTTTGACGTAGAACTACGTCTTTGTCGACTATACTGGGGTGCAAATCAAAAAATATGTGTGGTGAAATAGTTTTAGGTTTTGAACGCCTGTAACTTTGTCATTTATAGATGAAAATAAAATCCAAATACGCCAATCGATAGGCTACTACATTACAAATCTGCTGAAATAAATATTTTTTTCAATTTTCTACAAAAAACATTTGAAAAATGTACAAATGATAATTTTGTCTCTGTTTCATAGAATAATCGATTTTCCCTAACCCAGTCGTCATAATTGAGTACCATTTGGTGGCACATCGTTCTGCTGGAACCTGAAAAGATATAAAACAGTGAGTGTGGAGAAGAGCCCGCCCTTTCCCAACAACAGGCAGTTGACAATTCAATCCTCTTCATCCAAATCGCTTCAATCAGGTAACCTGATGGTCCCTCCCAATCCCAGCATTGTTTACTTTATATGAACAATAATAAAAATTTAAAAACTTAAACGATCTCATCAATTTTCCCTGTTTCTTCACCCTTGTCGTGCCTATTTGTGAACTTTTTGCCCTTCTCTGCACCACTGCTAGTCGCTACTAGTCTCCCGAAAGTCTCCCATGTTATTTCTGATGTGTTCTACGATATGTCGACGTCCATTATCATTGTATGATGATCTTAAGTTCCTAGTTGTGTCTAATAAAACCGTAAAAACAATGCTGAAAATGGACAGTGTCTCCGGGTATTTGCTTAACGAGCATCACTCCATTGTCGTATCGAATGTGCTCCATTTTGCAGCTCTTCTTTCATTTTTACTTTGTTGACTCCATGGTACTGGAAAAGATATAGATATATACATCATTAGCAATGATGTGATATAACCACTATGGGATGGCCGTTCAAAATGGTTCAACGGATGTGAAATGAGGGAACATTTAAAGATTGTGGAGCGTAGAGAAGTAAAAGCCACGACTGCCACTGGTATAATTTGATGCGCCAGAAATCCAATTCGTATGAATATTTAAAACATTTAAAGTACAAAAAACAGACACATATTTTCATCTCCCAAGAACGGGGAGGGTTCTACATCGATGGTAGTTACATCAAAAATTAGTTTAACTATTCCTCTTACATAAAAATCTATGTTTATGAAAATCGAATGGGGCATTGCTCAAAACGATTTTTTGACGTAGGACTACGTCTGTGATTTCTATATGGGGGTACACTTTGTGAAAACCGAAAATGGAACATCAAACAAAATTGTGAAAGGTTTTGATCGTTAATAACTCAACTGCCTCTGGTCCATTTTCAATAATTTTATCACCAATCGATCAGAAATATGGCTACGCATCGATAACAACGCTTTCGAATTTTGATTTTCAACAAGAAACTATTGAAAAAGTGGTAAATGTCCAGCTTTGTCCAAAAGCGTCGAATTAACTAACAAATCCACCGATTAAGCACATGCATATGCTGCTTCCCCAACACAGTTATCAGAGAAGCATTCCTAGACGAAACATGTCGATGTAGCATTACGACGAGGTTCAATAGTTCAGTGGTTACCGTTTCTGCTTACTGAGCAGAAGGTAGGAAGTTCAATCCCTGGCTTGTCCCCTTCTTTGCAATTTTTCACTTTGCCTTATTCTATCCCCACTAGATTTAAATAAAAAGAAATTCTGCTTTAACCGATCGCGTCACTTACCACAGTGAATCCTGAATAACCTACCTCACTAACACAACTATCCTTCCCGAGACAGCCGTGGAGATGTAGAGGTATTCTCTGTCTCTAGTAACAATCGGACGTTGAACTAATCATCCTTCCCTCCCCAAAAGACCATGAGGACGTGGCCGGCGCTGTGAATTGATCTATAGATTGAATTAATATCCTTGTACATTGAAGATTGAAAGCTTATCCCATGCACCACCTAGTTAGTTCTCTGAGCAAGTGGATTAGTTCTGATCATTTACGGAGGAGCAACTACGAAGTGCACGGTCTGATAACGTTAACTCGACGGCAAACACATTCATTGATACGTTTGTTATTGTGGATGATAGAAGAGCATAGCAGAAGTAGTGCGAA